GCTAAAACAAGAAGCTGGGCATCCCCTTGTTCAGGCTCAGGAAGTGTGCCCTGGGTGTCTGGCGGTGCCCATAAAAACCCCGCGAGTATTGGCTTTGGGGTTACAAACCTGTTACCAAGTAGGTGAATTCACAGGTACAGTCACAGGTACTGACCGCAGATGAAGTGCTGGCTCGGGCCTGGCCCAGTCGGTGCTTGACGAGGGCCGATGTCCGCACTGGAACATCAAGAGCAGGAGTGCATCCGGGTTTCCGGACAGGACTCCAAGGGGGTGGACGGGGCTCCCTGAGCTCTGCTGCTTTGTCTTCCCCAGTGTGCTGCCTTTGTGACCTCTTGGCTCCTACGGACTTGGGCGTCCGAGGCAGGTGTCGATTCTGGAGGCCCTAAAGGCCTCCACTGAAGGGTTTGTTCCAAGTCCATGGGGTGGGTTGTGGCATCATTGAAAGGTTTCAAACTAAGCCATGACATGGTTGGATTTCTCCAATGGCTGGCCAAGGTGGAGGAGAGACCGGAAAGATAAGACAGGATGTTGGGGGCCAGGGAGGAGCAGGCCGAGTGGTCTAGGGAAGGCTGGTTCTAGGTCAGGGGGACCAGGAATGGATGGGAGAGGCAGTTAGGAAGCACGTGGTTGTGGGGAGTGGTAGAGGGTTCCCGGGACAACGCTGGGGTAAGATGTGCCGCCGGGCGCTCTTGCTGGAGTTTGGACGTCTGACGTTGCCAGCTCTGAAGGCACAGGGAGGGAGGTGGCTTCCAGACGGACCTGGTGGGAAGGTAGGGTGATGTGAGCTGTTGGCAGGAATGTGGCTCTGAGCGGTCAGTCTGTCCCTGATCCTGACCTAGCTGCTCACAGTTCCCTCCCAACTCCACCTGTTGCAGGGGAAGAAACGGAAGAAGGGAGGCCTTTGAGGCTGGTAGATGGAAGCCTTGAGCTGGTTTTCCCGCAGCACACAAATGTGCGTGTAGTTGTGTCGTTTGACAGGTTGCTCACTGGTGAGAGGGAAGGGGAGCTTACGGGCCCTCAGCCCTTCCTGGGACAAGAAACCTGGCAGGGCGGGCAGAGGGAGGAGGCAGCTCTGGCTCCGTGGTCAGCTCTGTCTGTTCACGTGGGGCTGATGGGGGCCCCACAGCCTCTTCTGTCAAGCCTGCTGCCGTGGCTCCCACACTGCCTGGGGCCCCCGGCATCCGTGCCTCTTCGGGAGTCTAGGCCTCTGCTGCAGCTCCCCTGCCAAGCCTGGGCGTCTGGTTGCCGGCAGCAGGAGGGCAGCACTGGGCTCCAAGGCCCTCGCAGGGGCCTACCTGCCTGGGGTTGTTGCGTCTCTATCTCTTGGGAGATGGAGTCACAGCCATTCTACCGAGTGCCGAAAGCTCTGGTCATCTTGTTACATGTCGATGTTTTTTAAAAAAAAAAATGAAGAAATAAATTCATTCTGACCTGATAGAGTTTGCTGGATAAGATCTTGAAGCAGAGGCAGAAATGAGACAAAGGGAGCTTCTACTTAGAAGAAGCAAGGACTTGTGCGCTGTGGGGCAGGGAGGCTGGGCTGGATGTCTGGGGCCGGGGGGCAGACTGCATGGAGGAGGCCTTGCACAACCGGCTCCTGTCTGAGCCTGGGCTTGCTGGACTGGCGGAGCCGAGATGGGGGCAGGGAAGCATGCAGCCCCCCCGGGGCGGTGGCTCAGTCTGTGCACTGCTGTGGCTCAGGGGGAGGCGTGTTCACTCTCCAGCTTCCTGGGCAAATCCGAAAGTTTTCCAGAGTGACCAGACAAAAAAGCTGGACCCACATGCTATGTTATTATAAATCGTGGCATGTAGAATGTCAATGTCTCCCCCGGGGCAGGGAGGGCCGCGGTCCCATTCTGGAGGACGCGGTGCTGGCCAGGTCCAACATCTTGGGTCTCTGGGCCACTTGCCCCCCCTCTAAAATTTAACTGGCATATGATGATTGTGCACCCTCTGGGTTGGGCCCTGGGCCGGTGACACCCATGGGACGCACGTTCAGTCAGGGATACAACCACAACCCTGAGTGCTCCAGCTGACCCACAGAGAAAGGAGAGGAACACTGCCTGGGCCAGCAAGAGCTTGTGGCGGAGGGACAGGCCAAGTGCATGTGCAAAGGCTTGGGTGCATGCAGAGTGTGGTGTGTTTGGGAAAGCGTACATTTGCTTCTCTGAAGGTGGGAGGACAGGAGATGAAGCTGCAGAGATGGGTGGTCAGTTGGGACCAGGCTTTGGAAAGGGCTCCCAATTGGGGAGGAGACAAAAAGCTTACATACTCCAGTGTTGGGAGTCTTCACTAAAGCTAAATCATCTTGACTTGGGACAACTAAAGGGTTTTTATAGCAGGGCTGAGGTTCATTTTCTCATTCAGTAGATATTATTGAGAGCTTTCTGGAAAGCTTGAGGTAGTACCCTGGGCCTGGGATATGACCTGCTGTGCCAAGACAGACAGAGTTCCCCCAACAGCCCCAAGCCTATAACCATCAACAAGTAAATGCCTAAGTGAGCGGATGACAAATGTGACAGGTGCCATGATTGGGATGCTGGCTCATCTGTGAGTAGAGGGCAGTCAGAGGAGACCTCTCTGAAGAAGGCATATTGGAAGCGGGAGGAGTGGGGACTTCCCAGGTAGATGGAGCAGCGGGAAGATGGGCAGTAGGGGCAGGGAACACAGAATGGCCAGAGTGTCACATGGGAAGGGCCAAGGGCAGTCGTGGGCCTGTTTTTCATCCCCTTGCCCTGGAGAAAGACCGTGCTCAGAGCTGAGGGACACCTGCCACCCAGGGAGCCCCCCAAGGCACTGAAATCCTCCCTGTTAGTCACACCACTTATCTGACTGTGATCTCTGCCCCAGGAGACACAGAAAATCCAAGAGAAGTTCACCTTTCCTCTTCTTATATCTGGCCATGTGGCCTGGCCCCTTGCTAGTTCACTTTTCCTCAGAGTGCATGTCAGCAGGACTTTGGACCTAGACAACCCTGAGCGAGAGGCTGGAGGGTCAGTCCTCTGTCCAAGCTTCTGACTGTGGGCACCCCACCAACCCCTGGCAGGGACGCCTCTTCCACACACACACATACTAATGACAGACCACGCCACAGATGGGGACAAGGACCCTGACAGGTCCCACAGCCTCGGCCAGGCTTAGAACGCAGTTCTTGCTCTGCCGGGCGCTGTTGGCCATTGGCTTCAACGAGCTGCCCTTAAGGTCCAGCTCTTTCAGGAAAACTTCCCTGGGGTTGGCCCAGCCTGTCCAACCAGTGACCCAGGGGCGGCTCACCACTGCCCACCCCCAACTCCAGGTCTAGCTCACTCTGTACCAGAAACTAGTAGGAGCCATGCCAGCCCAGGGCCTGAGCCTTACTCTTTATGATGTAGCCTGTATAATCCCTCCCTGTGGCCACCAAGTTAGTACAGGACAGAGCTGGGATCTGAACTCCGGCTTATCTGGCTCCCTATTGCCTTCTGTCTTCTGGCTCCTTCCCACTAAAGGAATGACTCGCAAATGGTAGAATTTCAAGCAGTGGAGAGAAGGGATTCAGAGCAGGAACCCCCTACCCTTGAATGAAAATGAATGAGAAAATGCTTTTGAGTTTGTCAGGGGCCGTGTGAATATGGTGTATTACATGGGTTAGAACCCCTCCCCGCCCACTGAACAGAGGAGGGTATTGGAGAGTCCAGAGTGGGCCAGGACTTCCATGAGTAATTGCCAGGGCCTAGAAGGCAGGCCTCTGCCTTTAGGCTTTTCTCCCTCCAGCAGTCGGATCTCAGCTTGGGCATGCCCCCGCAGGCAGACTCGAGAGTCTAGCAGGACACTGCGGGGCACAGTGCTCAGCAGGGGCCCCAGACACCTGCAGCCCCCTCCTAGCAGGGAGGGGCCTAAAGCCAGAGCAGCAGAGTGAGGGAGGCTGTGCAGCTGAACAGATGGGGGGTGCCACTTACTGTCAGCAGCTCTAGGTAAGTTACCTGACCTTTGTGACCCTCACATGCCCCACCTGTAAAGTGGGCACAATCCTATCCCCACCTCAGAGTCACTGTGAGGTTTAAATTACAAAGCCATAAAGCTGCTGAGTACAGCTCAGTGAATGATCCAGCTTGGGGCCGTGAGCCCGTGCCTATAGCCAGCTGCACACAGGAGTCCCTCTTCCCCGAGCAGGCCCATCCCTTCTCCTGGAGGGCAGTATGTGGAAGGGTCATGCTCCTGCTGGCCACAGCCCCGCCTCCTGCCTGCCCTGCTGCCTGTCTCCTTCTGCCCAGGGGCTGCCCTTCTCAGGCTGGTAGGGAGAGACTCGGGGTGTGTCTGTCTGGAGGGATCCCTGAAGTTTTTGCAAGGCTTCAGCAGGACTGGGAAATTCTGAGCAGAGTGGGAACTGAGTGCTCCTGGCTCAGAGCTCCCAGAGCCCTTTGTCACCTCCAGACCCAGGTGTGAGGCCAGCTCCTGGCTCCCAGGCTCTTCCACTGTGGCCCCTATTACTGTTCAGGGACTCATTTCACAGCCCATTCTCTGCTGAGGCTCCTGGTTTTCCTGGAGTCTGTATAGCACCTGACCTAACACGTGTCTGTCAGATGAACCGACAGAGAGAAGGGCTCTTTAAATTAAATTTTTTATTTTTAGGTGATTGCCATTTACAGGGTTGTAAGAAATAATACAGAGGATCCTATCTGCTCTCTTCCCAGTTTCCCTCGATGGTAAAGTCTTGCACAACTAGCAGAACATCATAACCAGAGTATGGACATAGACACTAACCGGCTGGTCTTACTCAGATTCCACCATTTTCCCGTTACTCACTTCGGGTCCAGTGCTGTGCGGGTTCGTGTGTCTGCCACCTGTCCCACTTCTTAGCACACGGAGGGTCCTTGTCACCCTTTTATAGCCACACCCATCTCCCTCCCAGCCTGCGCATCCCCCTCTCCCCTTCATCTCCCTGTCAACCACTGACCTGTTTCCCGTCTCTATCATCAGGCCATTTCAAGAATGCTTTATAAATAGAGCTGTACGGTAGATACCTTTTTGGGATTGCTTTTTTTCACTTGGCATAATTCACTTGCGATTCATCCAAGTTGGTGCCTGTACCAGTAGCTGGTTCCTTTTCGTTGCTCAGTCGTATTCCACGTTCTGGATGTGCCACAGTTTGTTACACCGGTCACTGAAGGGCATCCAGGTTGTTTATAGTTTTGGGGCCAGGACAAGTAAAGCTGCCATGAACACTCATGTAGGAGTTCTTTGTGAATATGTTCCCATTTCTATGATAAAAAATGCCCAAGAGTACGGTTACTGGGTGGAGTGATGATTGCATATTTAGTTTTAAAGGAAACTGCCAAAGTGCCCCTGGTTGGCTGCCAATAGAGCCTGTGACTCTTGATCTCCAGGTTATGCATTTGAGCCCCTAAGTAATACAGATTACTTAAAAATAAAATCTTTTAAAAAATAAACTGCCAAACCATGTTCCAGGGTGGCAGTACCATTTTGCATTCCCAACAGCAATGTATGAGTGATTGTTTCCCCGCATCCTCACCAGCACTTAGTCTTGTCACTGTTTTGCAATTTAGCCATTCTGATAGGGCTGTGTAGTGATTCTCCCAGTGGCGGATGGATTGTTCTGTGCCTTGCCGACGCCCCCTGCCACACCAGGCCTGGTTTTGTGGGTTTCTGCTGGGCTGTCGGCATCATGGTAGCCCTTTGAAGGCAGAGCGTAAAGTCACTCATCTGGCTCCCACTCCCAGCCCAGGTACAGGTTTGTTTCAGTCCTCATGGAGGAAAGGGCATTTGGAGTTAAGATGCTGAGGAAAGCTGTCGGATCTGACCCAGCCCCTCGAAGCAAGTAGGGAGTGATGTTTGAATAGCACCTTCTGTTTCAGACAAAGAGCTGAGCATTTAATAAGAAAGCAGGGGTGGGCCTTCAGCGTTCTGTGCCCCTGCTGTAGGCCAGCCCCAGGCCAGGCTGGAATGAGATTCAGACCCCCAGCTCCCACCCTGGTAGGACCTGGTTCCCTGAAACATGGTGGAGAATGGGGACTCGGACCAGCATTGGTGGAGTATTGAGGGAGGCAGACTGGTGTATGAGGTTTTCACGTTACTGGGCGGAATGGGGGGTAGGGATAGCAAGATGGGAGGACAGGGTTAACTGGGCCCTAAAAGAGGTGTTGGTCTTTGACCAGACAGGGAGGGGGTATCCAAACAGAGGGAAGGTAGAAGAGGAAAAGTCCAGGGGCAGCAGTAGGTCTCTCAGTGAGCTTGAGGAGGAAGCAAGGTTAACATTCCTTAGCATTCCTGTCCTCTACTCTGCAGTCACTGCCTCCCCTGGCACTGGATCAGGCTCTGTCACAGCCTGTGGCACCACGAACTTTATCATCTAGCCCAGGCCCCAACTGGAAAATAACCTTTGTGTGGGACTATGAGGTGGAGGATGTCTTTGGCCCATGCTGGCATCCCCAGCTAGACATGGCCTTGGCCTAGCAGGAGGGTGGGCAGGGCCTGTGTCTGTCTTGGTCATTGCTATGTCAGACCCCAATTCTTCTGCTCCAGAAATCCTTCTTAAGGCCAGATCTAGGGCCAGTCAGGTGGGGCCTCAAACTTGAAAGAGATTCAAGAGGGTTGGGATCTTACCTGCTCCCTGCCCTCCTCTCCCATCTGCAGGTTCATCATGCCTAGTGGCGTATAAGAAGACCCCACCACCGGTCCCTCCACGTACCACGTCAAAGCCCTTCATCTCTGTCACGGTCCAGAGCAGTACTGAGTCTGCCCAGGACACCTACCTGGACAGCCAGGACCACAAGAGTGAGGTGACAAGCCAGTCGGGCCTGAGCAACTCGTCGGACAGCCTGGACAGCAGTACCCGACCGCCTAGTGTGACACGGGGCGGAGTCACCCCAGCCTCAGAGGCCCCTGAGCCACCCCCAAAACATGCAGCTCTGAAGAGTGAACAAGGGACGCTGACCAGCTCCGAATCCCACCCTGAGGCCATCCCCAAAAGGAAACTGTCATCTATAGGAATACAAGTAGGGGTCCCTTTCGCACTCTTGTGTCCTCAGCCCACTCTGTACACCTGCCTGTGTGTAATTACATCTGGTGGAGGCCCGCTAGGTCTCCGGGGCAAAGTGGTTTGTCTGTATTTTGGGGGGTTGGCCCCACGTGGCCGGCCAAACCAGATTCCACCCACAGCCACACATTCCTTACATTTGCCCACTCACGTTGCAGTCTGCAGTTGTGGGCCCGTGGCCCTGCTCCTGTGATGGGCTGCCCCAGTGAATGTAGTTACACTCAGCCAGCCATCTCCTGTCCACTGTTCACTTGTCCACTGTCTGTCTGTCCACTCCACCCTTTGCCCTGTCAGCCAACGCATGGGAGGTGGGCCTGGCCTAACAGTTCTCTAATCCAAGGTCAGCTCGGGTGCGGAGGCCACAGCCCCGCTTGGCGGCGGGAGCAGCATGGAGCGTAGACGCCGATGGGCCTGGGGCCCGGGACCCAGAGCCCTTGAGCCATGGGGGTTGCTTGAGGGGAACATTACCCAGAGCCCTCTCGGGCCCTGGGGACAGGTAGGTGGCTCGAGGCACCAGGCCCATGTCAAATTGAGAAGTGTGATGCTGGTCCTGATGCCTCCCTCCATGGGAAGGGTATCCAGGCAGATATTTCCCCAGGACCAAGTGGCCAAAGCCAGCAGAACCTCCTGGAAGCCAAACTCACTGTACACCCACAACCGTGGTCCACAGCGGGGCAGGGCACACCAGCTTCCCCTCCACTGCTTCACTGCGCCTTCTGCATGCACCAGACAGCAGCACTCTGTCTTCTGGCAGCCGAGCTGGGGCACCTGGAGCCCTGCTCTGGCCAGATCTGACTAAAGTGGACCACACTCCGGGCAGGGAGGGAGGGAGGACAGCTACAGGGAGCCTTGAGCTTGGGGAAGGCGGACCCCTCAGGGAGGTCATGTTGGTGTGCGTTGTGGCTTGGGGCTGCAAGGGCTCCCCTGAGCAACCAGATATGGCCAAGTGGATGGCAGAGCGCTAAAATGCCCGAGGAACTTGAGACACGGAGGAGACCAAATGGCTCTGACCAGAGAAGGCTCATTAGCCAATTTCTTGCACTGTCCTGAATTATTTTCCCCCTAAGAGGTAACTCAGGGCTTCAGTTTCCCCACAAATACAGGAACAGAGTTGTCCAGGAGAATAATGGTTTCTGGGATCCTTTATAAGGAGTCCAGCCCCTGCCCTGTGCAGCTGCTCCAAGAGGGATTCTTAGGGACATCAGAGTAGCCTAGTCTCTTGGGTCTTGTCACCCAGGGTTGTTGTTTGGGCAGCCCTACCCTCTCCTTGGCCAAACCAGAGGAGGCTCCTGTCTTCTGAAAGTCTGAGTTAGGTTCACCGTTGGTTCCTTTCATCTAGAAAGTCACATGGGGTTAAGGATCCTAGCTCTTGGATCCATCCTGGGCTTCTCCTCCCTAGGATTAATCCCCTCCCCAGGCCAAGCTCTTGTCGCAGCTCTTTGAGATCCATGACGGTGCACTTCCCTAACAGACTCTTACTGTAGGAGGAACGCAACCGTATCTGCATGGCGAGGAGCCTGGTGCCTGGCCCTTGCCCCAAAAAGCCTTGTGGCCCCTACCATATCTGTGAAAACAAGGGACTGGGAGTCCCCAGTTTCCAAGGATACCCTGACAACCCTCATCCCACCCCTTGGTACCTTAAGCCCTAGGTCAGGTCTGGGTTCTCCCTCATTCAGGAGCAGTGATGGAAAGGCTGGCCTGCCTGCTTCACGGCCATGCCTCTTGGTCCCAGAGAAGAAAGGCAGACTTGGGGCATGACTGCTGCCCGGTTTCCTTCCACTTTAACAGGAGTGTAGAAAAAGTGCTAGCTTTTGCACTCGGCCCTGGCCCTGGTCCTGCCTACTGCTCCCCAGGCCCACCCACTGTTGAAAGTAACCTCAGCCATCCAGGCCCAGGGATGGCATCCCAGAGTGTCCTGGAACCTCACCGGCTATCACCTTGGGTAGCTTCCAAATCCAGAACTGCTGTCCAAGGTTTGTCCCTGATACAGGCGCCTCCAGCCTGCCCTTCAGCTGCAGGGTTGGGGGGAGCGATCTTTGCCTCGAGACAGCCCCCAGCTTTGACTACACCAGATAACGGCTGTGGCTTTGTGTGTGTGTGTGTGTTTTCTTTCTCTCTCGTCGTCCTTCTTTTTTTTCTTCTCTCTGATGCGTGTAAAGGAGAGGACTAGAAGGAACGGTTCCCACCTCTCGGAGGACAACGGACCCAAAGCAATCGATGTGATGGCACCCTCCTCAGAGTAGGGAAAGCCAGTCATCTCCACCCCATCCCACCTCCCGCCCACCTGCCCGCCCGCCTCCGCGCGAATGAGCAGTGCCCGGCTTCACTGGGTCCGGCCTCGGGCCCACGTGCAGTGTCCGCATGCCTCGTGCCTGTCTGTCCTTCTGCGTCGTCCCACTAATGTGAATTTCAGCAGCAAGTGTGGTGTTTGTTTTTTATTTTTGTCTTTGTCTCCGTGCCGTTGCTGTCGTTGTCCTTCAATAAGGTTGACTGCATTCAGCCAGTGCCAAAAGAGGAGCCCAGTCCCGCTACCAAATTCCAGTCCATCGGGGTTCAGGTAGAGGACGACTGGCGGTAAGTCGCACAGAGGTGGTGGCTGCTTCTCCCCCTCCTCTCCCTCCCTCTGCTCTCATCTCTCCTGCGCCTTCTCCTCCTGCTCTCCCTAACCCACTTCTCCTTGCTGGATTTCTAATAACCAAGCTGGGTTTGGGGTTCGGGCAGTGGCCCAGGCATGGGAAGCTGGGCAGGCAGGCGGGTGGGCCAGTAGTGAGCGCTTGCTCTGCGAGATTAATCAGCCCGCGGGTGGAGGGGACGGCAAGGCCAGCAGAGACGTGGCCCAGCACCCCGATGTTGGTGGTCTTCCTGGCCCCACTGCAGTAAACAGGCAACCTTATGACCTTGTCCGTGTGTGTGTGTGTGTGTGTGTGCGCGCGCGCGCGTGTGCGCGGACGGGTGGGGCGAGGGCTGAGCAGAGAATGAGACGGGGGCTGTGGGACCCGCTTCAGGCGCATGGTGAGCAGACGATGCATCCGTTTCTCTGTCTCCCGTGTGTCCGGGTCGGGGTGGCCTCTGGTCTCTGGCCCTCCTAGTGACTCTCACCTCTTCCTGTCCCCACCCTACTTCACCCCACCCCCCAGAAGCAGCGCCCCCTCTCACAGCATGTCCTCCCGACGGGACACTGATTCAGACACCCAGGATGCCAACGACTCAAGCTGTAAGTCATCTGAGAGGAGCCTCCCGGACTGTACCCCACACCCCAACTCCATCAGCATCGATGCCGGGCCTCGGCAGGCCCCCAAGATTGCCCAGATCAAGCGCAACCTCTCCTATGGAGACAACAGCGACCCTGCCCTAGAGGCGTCCTCGCTGCCCCCACCCGACCCCTGGCTTGAGACCTCCTCCAGCTCCCCGGCAGAGCCAGCGCAGCCGGGAGCCTGCCGCCGGGATGGCTACTGGTTCTTGAAGCTACTTCAAGCAGAAACAGAGCGGCTGGAGGGCTGGTGCTGCCAGATGGACAAGGAGACCAAAGAGAACAACCTCTCTGAAGAAGGTGAGTGCTGCAGGGACGGCCCCTGGGCTGGAGGGAAGGGGGCCTGGCTCATGGCCCAGGTTCCCTTCTCAGAATGGGGGCAAGGCCTAGAGACGCACTGAGAGCCTTCCCACAGGAACCAGGTGGCCTGCCGGCCGGCCTCAACCCTCCCTGTTCACGTCCACGGATCTCGTCCACAGGTCCCAGCAGCCGTGCGTTCTGGTATTTGCTACTGTGGCTTTTGTCTTTTAAATGGGATGCCTTGTGTTTCCTCTCAAATTCATCATCAACATGGAGATTTCCTGCTCTGAGAGAGGAGCAGTTAGCTCTGTCACGTCTGCCTCCATGTCAGACACCACCATGTGGGGTTAAATAACCACCAGTAGTTCTGGGCACCGTGAGGATGGAAATACCGATCACTGCAGAGCCTAATACCGTCCGATGATGATATTTCCTTTCCCACATTTTATTTTTTCTAAAATGAAGAACTGCCTCATCTTTTTTATACTTCATTTTTTAAGCTCTAATTTGTTACTTTCTGACACGTCCCACCACATCTGCCAGCCTACATCTGTGTTATTTCCCCGATATGCACACATATCAGATAACCTCATGATTTCATCTTTTTCCCAGTGCCCTCTAGTTCTCTGTTCTCATCTGGCCAGTTCACTCTCTGGGCCTGTTGCCTAGCTGCTGTCCAGAGACTTCCCTTTTTATCACCTGGGCCTGCCCTTGGCCACTGTCCCATGGTGGACACCCCACTTTCCAGACCACATGGCCTTCTGCTTTCTTGGCTGTAGTCCCTCATTTTGCTGCCACACACCTTCAATTCGAGATAAATTTTTGGAAACTCCGTATCTTTATTTAGGCCTCACATGGTTGGGCTGGGTGTAAAGCTGAAAATAATAAATTATGTATGTAAATGTGTAGGTTTATAGGTGTGTGTGTGTGTGTGTGTGTGTGTAAAAATAACCTATAAATATATATACCTCTTACACACATATATATGTATGTATATATATATGTGCACACATGTACATACATACATATACACACCTATAAACATAAAGTTGAAAATCATTTTCCCTCAGAATCTTTAAGGCTATATTGTGTTTAGCTTCTGTTACTTGTACTGAAGAGTTTGATGCATTCTGCTTCTCAGGCCTTTGTGTGTTTTTTATCGATGGAAGCTGTTAGGCTCTTCACTTGATCTCTCTTGTGAAATTCCTCAGTGCCATGCCGAGGACTGGGGCCTTGGTCATGTGCCAGCAGCGGATAGGCCTCTCCTAGGTGGAGACACAGGTCTTTTGTTTCTGAGAAATAGCCTTGCATTAACTTTTGGGTGGTTTTTTGTTTTTACAATTTTCTTTATTTGAGAGAGAGCACAAGCAGGGGGATTGGCAGAGACAGCGGGAGAAGCAGACTCCTCACTGAGCAGGGAGCCCGACATGGCACTCCGTCCTGGAACCCTGGGATCATGACCTGAGCTAAAGGCAGATGCTTAACTGACTGAGCCACTCAGGTGCCCCACCTTGCATTTACTCTTAAAAATAATTTCCTGGGGCGCCTGGGTGGCTCAGTGGGTTGGGCCTCTGCCTTCGGCTCGGGTCATGATCCCAGGGTCCTGGAGTCGAGCCCTGCATCGGGCTCTCTGCTCGGAGGAGAACCTGCTTCACCCTTTCTCTCTGCCTGCCTCTCTCCCTGTGATCTGGCTGTCCAATAAATAAATAAAATCTTTAAAAAAATTAAAAAAAAAATTTTTTTTTTTTAAATAATTTCCTCACTTGAATTGTTCTCTCTCCCCGAAATTCCCATCACTCAGACATGGGACCTGTCAGGTGGAGCCTCAGCCTCTGATCTTTTCTTCTTCATATCTATCTTTCAGGTGTCTCTTTCTGGAAGGCTTTCTTTCTCTTTACTTTTTGTCATGCTGTAACAACTTCATTGATCTGTGATTCACATGCCATGAAACTCACCCTTTTAAAGTGTACTGTTCAGTGGCAGTTAGTACACTCACAGTGTTTTACAGCCTTCACTACTGATTTCATTATCATTGCTCCAGAAAGAAACCCTGTAACTGTTAGTAGTCCCTCCTCGTTGGCTCCTCCTCCTTAGCTCTTAGCAACCACGGATTATGTCTCAGGGGATCTGCTGTTCTAGATACTTATACAAATGGAATCCTACAATATGTGGTCTTTTGTGTCTGCTTCTTTCATTTTGCATGAGGTTCTCAAGGTTCGTCCAGGTTGTGGCATCTGTCAGCACTTCCCTATTGCTGAACACTCCACCACTTTGAGTAGACTTCATTTTATCCATTCACCTGTTGACGGACATTGGTTTGTTTCCATTTTCAGGCTAGTGTCCAGAACACTGCTGTGAACACGTGTGTGTTTGTGTGGATGTGTGTTCATTTCTTTTGGATACGTGCCTAGGAGTAGAATGGCTGGATCACAGGGTAATTCTACGTTCAATGCTCTGAGGAACGTGCCAACCCACTGTCCACGGTGGCTGCACCATGTAACGTTCTTGGAAGTAGAATGTGAGGATGCTCATTCCTCCACATCCTCCCCAACACTTGGAATTATTGGTCCTTTTGAATCTAGCCATCCTAGTAGGTGTGAAATAGTATCTCCTTGTGGTTTTAATTTGTATATCCATGGCGGCTAATAATGTTGAGCATCTTTGCGTATACCTGTCGGCTCTTTTTACATTTTTGTTGGAGAAATCTTTAGAGATTGGGAGGTTTTCTTGCTTTATCTCCAAACCCTGTCCATCAGGTGCTTCCTATGGCCATTCATGTAAGAGGTCGTTCTTCCTCTGTTCCTTCTTCGAGGTATTTTTTTTTAAACATAGATGAAGCCAACTCTTGTTCTTTTCTTTTCTTTTTTTTTTTTCCCCCAAAATTTTATTTATTTATGTAACAGAGAGAGAGGGAGAGAGCACAAGCACAGGGAGTAGCAGGCAGAGGGAGAGGGAGAAGCAGATTTTCACGCAGAACAGGAAGCCCAATGCCAGGCTCGATCCCAGGACCCTGGGATCATGACCTGAGCGGAAGGTAGACACTCAACGATCTGAGCCACCCTGGCACCCCGTGCCCATTTGTTAATTGGGTTGTCTTTTTATTGTTGAGTTGCAAGAGTTCTTTAGATGTTGTGAATAGTGGCACCCGTGTACATGGTAGTTTTTAATTCTGATGTAGTCCTATTTTTCTTTCACTGCTGAGCTTTTACTTATTTTTAAAGTTATGAATATATATTAATTTAATAAGTTAAAATAAGGGGGGGTGCCTGGGTGGCTCAGTCAGTTGGGCATCTGCCTTCCCCTCAGGTCATGATCCCAGGATCCTGGGATTGAGTCCCTCATCGGGCTCCTTGCTTAGTGGGGAGCCTGCTTCTCCCTCGGGCTGCCGCTTCCCTTACTTGTGCTCTCTTTGTCAAATAAATGAGTAAATTATTTTAAAAAATTAAAATTTGGATAAAAACATCAAGGCACTGAGAAACTAGCAGCTCTATGTGGGCAGGGCTTGTTGAAAGGTAGGCTTCTGTGGATACCTCAGAAAACTGATTTTAAATAATATATAGTAGAAATTATATCAAAATAACAAAGGAAACCAATTACATTAATAGAGAGTTATCAAAATGTATACTTTTTTAACACATTAAATGACACGGGGCGCCTGGGTGGCTCAGTGGGTTAAAGCCTCTGCCTTCGGCTCAGGTCATGATCTCAGGGTCCTGGGATTGAGCCCCACATCGGGCGCTCTGCTCAGCAGGGAGCCTGCTTCCCCCTTTCTCTCTGCCTGCTTATGGTCTCTCTATCAAATAAATAATTAAAAAAAAAAAAGACATGAAGTAACACAATCTAGCAGTGAGTCTAATTACTATAATTTCCAAGTAGTGATGACAGTAAACATTATTTCAAGATAACTGACAGCTATAATGTGATATGAAATTCTGTGATTTCTACTGGTGACAAAGTGACAGGTACTGCTAACATTAAAGTGGTTTATTGCCATCTGAGTTTAAGCACATCCTGCTGGAGGGTGACAAACTTGCCCTTTCCTTAGGGGAAGACCTTTAAATGTCAGTACTCCTCTGCAATCCTACAGAATGTTCTTCAGAGAAGAATACTCTTCTTGTTTCTCTAGGGGTCAGTATTTCCTCTGATACTATTGCTCATGTTATAAAATTAATGATTTTGTGAGGCACCTGGCTGGTGGTAGAGCATCAGTTCTTCATCTTGGGGTTTTGCCTTTGAGCCCCACATTGGGTGCAGAGACTACTTAAAAATAAAGCCTTTAAAAAAATCAGGGTACCTGGGTGACTCAGTCAGTTAAGCAACCAGCTCATGATTTTGGCTTAGGTCATGATCTCAAGGTTGTGAGATCGAGCCCTGCATCAGGCTCTGTGCTCAGCAGAAGTCTGCTTGTCCCTCTCCCTCCAAGCCCTCTGCCCCTCCCCTTGCATGGACATGCTCTCTCTTTCTCAAATAAATAAATTAATTAAATAAAAATAAACTTAATGATTTTTTTTAAGATTTTATTTATTTATTTGATGGAGATCCAAGTAGGCAGAGAGGCAGACAGACAGAGAGAGAGAGAGAGAGAGAAAGACGAGGAAGCAGAGAGAGAGAGAGAGGAGGAAGCAGGCTCCCTGCCAAGCAGAGAGCCAGATGTGGAGCTCGATCCCAGGACCTTGGGATCATGACCCGAGCCAAAGGCAGAGGCTTTAACCCACTGAGCCACCCAGGTGCCCCTAAACTTAATGATTTTTTTAATCACTGTAATTTTTAAATTTGATAGGTTTATAACAATCTTTTGCACACTTGATTTTTTTTTATTATGGCAAAATATAACATCATCTTAACAGATTTGTTTTTTTTTAAGATTTATTTTGAGAGAGAGAGAGAGAGAGGTAATGCAGGGAAGAGGTGCAGAAGGAGAGAGAAATATCAAGCAGACTTCCTGCTGAGTGGAGAGTCCGACTCGGGGCTCCATCCCGCAACCCTAAGATCATGACTGG